AGACTCTATTCAATAAGGAGATTAGAATAAAGCCTAGGAAAAAGAACACCTAGTCTAGCAAAGAAAATTATTCAGACGCTTGTTTCCTGATTTAAAAAAAAGGATTAATTTGCTTGGAATGTAAAACAGGAAAAGCAACTGAGCAAATGAAATATCTGTAGCTCTGAATTTGTTAGGGTTCCCTCAAGTGTTGCTCTAACTTGCAGTATTGTGATAAACTTTACCATTCACCAGACTGGAGAGAAAGCTCTTCTGCTCTCCTCACATGAGGAACTTTTTTCTACTCTCTCTCCTTGGCAGCAGAAGCTTGAATCAAAAGGAAACTGTATTAAAGAGAATAAAAGCAGAGGGTGTTAAGTTGGTTATATATTCAGTGAATGAAGCGACATAATTACAAAGAGGGGAAAAAATGCAGAAGCAGAACACAAAGCTGCTGTGTTCCAGAAACCAGCTAAATAAAGTGCTATTTGTGAAAGAGCAGCTCTTTGAAACTTCATAGCCTGATTCAGAGCCCAGTGGTGCCAGCAGAAGAACTCCTGCTTGCCTCACTGAACTTTAGATAAAGCCTTTCTCAGTCTTTACATTGTTCTACTTAACATTAAAGAACGACATATTTTCCTTCAAGGTTAATACAGTTAAGGAGTATTTTTAGTTACAGATAGCAAAGTTTCCTTAAAGAAAGCATTTGACAAGATGCACAAAAAATACTGCAATAAAAGTTTCATCTTTGGGCACATGTATCTATATTGCAGCTCATTACAGATGGGAAAGATAGGCTTTATTTACTTATTTGATGAAAGAATAAATTTTAATAAGCTTCATGGAACTCAAAACCACTAGAAGTTTTTGCAATTAAAATTAAAAAATGATATTATGTAGCCCTTCAGCTCCACAAATAAGCTTTAAGACCAAGTGAGAGAGAGAACTAGTGAGGAGAAAAATGGACATAAAGAAAGGTGACTAACCACTAAAGGAAGTTTTTATTGAGAGTCTATCAAATTCCCTATTTTTCATGCTATTCATTCTACATAAAGCTAATAACTGTCCAAAGTAGGCATCAAGTTGGGATCAACCACTGATTGAACTTCTGATACAACGTAACCCCCTTCTACAAGTGGGAAGCCCACCACATTAACAGGTTTTGAAAAGGAATCCTTGTATTTTCTACTAAACGTGTGTGCACATTTACATGTGCGATATAGCAAAAATACAGTCACACGATGCCACATTTTTGCTCACACATGTGGTGATGCATGTAAACATTTGGTTTAGATTTGTATGGCTTACATGACTCAAAGGACTTGTTTGGGAGCTGTGTATGGTGGGAAAAACAACTCAGCCCAGATGATGATTCATGGGGCGTGGATTGTTTTCATTAGGAAAGAACAAAACACTAAAGCCAAAGAATCCTTTTTTAAAGGAAGGTTTCCACACTGAAGGCAGACTCCTGGCAGGCATCCTGAAGGCAGACCCAAGATACTGCACCTAGCAACGACGCCAGCAAGCTGCAGCAGCAGTGCCTGGTCACTATTTCCCCAGAAAGAAAAGCAGAGAGGATTTGAGGGGGGGAAAGCCACTCCTAACTATGGCTTGCCAGACACGTGAGAGAGGACAGCCTAAATACAAGCACAGATCAGGTCTCCGTTTCAGAGTTACTCATCTTACACCAACCACTGAAAAGCAATGCAGCCTTATAAAGCCTGGCGGACCTATGCACACCTCAGAGGCAGACATCAGCCAGAGCATGCGTGTTGGTCTGCTGGCTTTAACTGCATCTCCCAGCGACACAAGCAGAACATTTGACTCTTGAAGAGTAATGATTTAATAAAAACTTGAGGATTTGTCTTCTGGTTCAGTCCCATAGGAAACAAGACTCCCACTGATAATAGGCACAGAAGTTCCCCCAGTCACTTGCAAAGGCCTTAAAACTACAGCTCATCAAACCAGTTCTTTTGGCTTGCAATCACAACAAAAGCTGCAGCAGCCTGCTTTCCTGTTCAGCCTTCCCAGCGCCACAGGCTTTGCCAGATTCCTGCCCCTGCTTCTAAGAGATGAAGAATTTTGCTTGCATGAGTGTTCGCTGAAATCGCCATCACATTTTCCTTAAGAAATGGGGGAGCAAAAAAAGCTGTCTATGTGCCAGCAAGCCTGGTGAACTGTTCCCCGCTAGCCCAGGCTGTCTGCCCTTCCCTCCTGACATTTCCAGCTTCCCCCCGTTCTCCTGGCCACCCAGCCGCAGCTTCTGCTTTTGTGTGGGACTCAGTTCCCCATTGTTTCTGCAACTCTCTCGGAGGGGCAAACTTTTTCCATATATGCTGATTATCAGAGATTTGGTTCCTGTGTTCCCATTTAAAAATATACTGCCTAAAGTTCAGCTGTTGCTTTATCAGCCACAGCTCTCTCCCACACACAATGCCCTACACCATTATAACACAAGCTCTGACAAACTCATGGAATACAAGAACTTCCTGATGTCTCCAAATACCCCAACCGACATGATCAGTACTGCATAAGGTCTGATATTACTTTTGTGCTGAGAAACTAATGTTGATTTCTTACAGGAAGGGAATTTAGTGGTATGCATAATGGCATATAATATGATTCCTAATTTTTCTCCAGGCTTCATTTAAACAGATAGGCTGCATATATTGACACCCGCAAGCTCTAAAGCTCATAGTAATGGCTGCAAAGGTAGAACAAATGGCTACTGGAGGTAGAACAGCAGACCCCTAGAGATAGAATCATAGAATCATTTAGGTTGGAAAAGTCCTTCAAGATCATCGAGTCCAACCATTAACCATGCCTACTAAACCATGTCCTGAAGTACCCTGTCCACTCGCTTTTTGAATACCTCCAGGGATGGTGACTCAACCACTTCCCTGGGCAGTCTGTTCCAATGTTTGACAACCCTCTCAGTAAAAAAATTTTTCCTAATATCCAACGTAAACCTCCCCTGCCTCAACTTGAGGCCATTTCCTCTCGTCCTCTCTCCAGCCACCTGACAGAAGAGACCAGGACCCACCTCACTACAACCCCCTTCAGGTAGTTGTAGAGAGCCATAAGGTCTCCCCTCAGCCTCCTCTCCTCCAGACTAAATAACCCCAGTTCCCTCAGCTGCTCCTCTTAAGACTTGTGCTCCAGGCCCCTCACCAACTTGGTTGCCCTTCTCTGGACACGCTCCAGCACCTCCATGTCTTTCCTGTAGTGAGGGGCCCAAAACTGAACACAGGACTCGAGGTGCGGCCTCACCAGTGCCCAGTACAGGGGAACAACCACCTCCCTGCTCCTGCTGGCCACGCTATTTCTGATACAGGCCAGGATGCCGTTGGCCTCCTTGGCCACCTGGGCCCACTGCTGGCTCATATTCATCCGGCTGTCAACCAGCACGCCCAGGTCTTTCTCTGCCGGGCAGCTTTCCAGCCACTCTTCCCCAAGCCTGTAGCGCTGCACGGGGTTGCCATGACTGAAGTGCAGGACCCGGCACTTGGCCTTGTTGAACTTCATACAATTGGCCTCAGCCCATCGATCCAGCCTGTCCACATCTCTCTGTAGAGCCTCCCTACCCTCAAGCAGATCGACCCTCCCTCCCAACTTGGTGTCGTCTGTGAACTTGCTGAGGGTGCACTCAATCCCCTCATCCAAATCATTGATAAAGATATTAAACAGAACCGGCCCCAACACCGAGCCCTGAGGAACACCACTTGTGACCCGCCGCCAACTGGATTTCACTCCATTCATCTCTATTCTCTGGGCTTGTCCATCCAGCCAGTTTTTCACCCAGCAAAGAGTACACTTATCCAGGCCACGAGACGCCAGTTTCTCAAGGAGTATGCCATGAGAGACAGTGTCAAAGGCCTTGCTGAAGTCAAGGTAGACAACATCCACAGCCTTTCCCTCATCCACTAGGTGGGTCACCTTGTCACAGAGGGAGATCAGGTTGGTCAAGCAGGACCTGTCTTTCATAAACCCATGCTGACTGGGCCTGATCCCCTTCTTATCCTGGACTTGCCATGTGAGTGCTAGATGGCAGACAGAGGGGGAAAAACCCAAATCATGTGAAGATAGCACTCATCAGATTTACTCTTGGGTGTTCAAACTTCCCAGTGACAAACTTTCAAGTACTGAATTGCCAGTGGCAGTATCAGGAAGAACAATGTTAAAAAACCAACTATAATGACCAGTTCTTGCCATTACTAATATACCTGTCACATGGACATCTAACATAACAGAGTAGCTCAGTTTTGGAGATTCAAGTGGTCTTCAACCAGGACAGCGGATTTCATGACAATTAGAGAGCTGTTTCCTCTGCAGGTGCTTTACCATGAGGGAGTGATGAAGGCCTCAAACCCCTTTTGCAACTTGGAAAATTTACCACACTAGTAAAACTCACCTTGTCCTTGCTAGAAGCATAAAACTAAAACCCAAGAAAACAACCCTCATTTTTCCAATATTATTTTCCTGCGGGTAATGGGACAAATAATTTCAAAGCTAGTCTAATTAATAAAATCCAATCAGTTACTATATTATCTTGAAGAAGTAATACTTAGGAAGACATTGATTATTAATGGAGTTTATGTGGGATCAAGTTTTCAGAAGCAGTCTGCCTCAACCCAATGAGTCAGTCATTAGGCATCTGAAATGGCAACATGCCGAGAAAGGCAATTTGACATTTAAAGTGACATTAACCTGCAGGTTATCATGGGTTGGAAATTTCTCCTGCTAAATGAAAGGACTGGAAATGGAACTAATGCATCAAAGTTCAGACAATCAACCCCTTTGTAACAAACTCAGATAAACATCCCAAATGAAAACAAATGAACTGGGAGTGGAGGGAGAATCTAGCAAGCATTTTCCGCCTTCCTCATCATCCAGCTGGGGAAAAAAAAAAGGGGGGGGGGAATAGAAGGCCCTTCTGCATTTCACTCTTCCTTGGCACTGTTACAAGCAGAGAGTTAAGAAGACCTACTTCAAATTCCTTTCCCATGTCTTTCTTCAACTAGGAACTGGTGCTCCTTCATGCAGTCCCGGCTGGTAACATACATAGAAGCCTGCATGAAGGAGAAGTACATTGTCAACTCCCAACAGCCCTGTCTAAACGGAGCACCAGACTGCCAGAAGATCATGTAAGTATCCTAAATAAAACCACTTAAGAAAACAGAATTTTCTCTGAAGTATCTAAATGATATTTTCAAAAGTATTTAATGACACATTTTAAAAAGAATTAAAGCATCAACTCAGTTTAATACCAAAGTGATGTAGGGTCTGACTTACATACCAAAGGTGATCAGGCATTGAAGTAACCTGGGAGAACAATTGCCTTTCCAAGCCATCAAGTACATGACTACAAGCTGATTAAGTGATTTTTCAAATCTTCCCACATGTTTATTCAGCAAAACCCACAGACCATACCTTTTCCATGATTTTCAGGTCATAATACACAGATATAACTTAAAAAAAAAATATCTCTGCCTGTGGCCATCAGTGAGACCATTTACGTGGCAGGAGTTAGAGATGTGCAACTGCCCAAGTGCTTACTCTTCTTTCAGAAGGACTGGCTGCCCAAAGACTACTGGTGAAAGCCAATAGTGTATCTTAAGGTACTAGGACTGATACATTTTTAAAGTTGGGAGACGTTGACTCACAACACACTTTTGAAGTGAAGTAATATTTATACTTACCTGCATGTTTTCACATCTATGTAGTTACGTGGCTGCAAAAATGCTTTTGCTATTTGTTAACACAAATAATTTCTCTGAACAAAAAAACCAAAGGTTCATGATTATTTCTAGTGGAGTTTTTAAACAAATTTTTATCTTTCTTGGTACCGGTGACATTTTGGAATATTTGTTTAAAAATAAAACTTTCTCTACAACTCATCAGAATATTACAAAAGTTCAAACTCAGTCCAAACTTCATTGCAAAGGACTCTATTACAATAAGTATTACAGTTGCGTTTCTGATAGATAGATAAATTTGCCATCTGTGACATTTCTGAGACTTGCATCAGATGAGTGCCAACATGTTTGGAAAAAAATCTCTACTGAAGAACAATAATGCATGAGGCAGAACACTGGAGCCCTGCTCACTGAATAGTAGTTATATTCTGTCTGCATGTAAGAATGTGCACACACCTCCTGTTGTAGGCAGTAATCCTGAAAAGCAATCTTATGTAGGGGTAAAAAATTGCTGTGGACTGCCTAAATGTTTTACTAAACAGCAGTGATACAGTTTATGACAAATGTCTTAACTGCGTTCTGCATTAGTCATCTAGGACAGGCTTGGCACCAGACTGCTGCTAGAGTCAGTGAACTCACCCCGAGTGACGCCAACTGACAGTAAGTTGGAATCTAACGCCCAGACCCTTACTCCCCAGGTACAGGACAGCTCTGAAGCCAGTCTATCAAGTGAAACAGAAGGTTTTGAAGTCTTTGCAGTGGAAATGCTGCCCTGGATTTATTGGCAAGGACTGTGAACAGCGTGGTAAGGAAAGCTAGAGAACAAGCGTGAGAATTAATGACTAAATGCCAGTCACGGTGGCAAGAAATAAGTTTGCCTATTTGTTTTCGCTTTTTTTGAGAATCGATGCCTTATTTCCTTTGGTTTGCTATGCCCCAAATCACTGACACCTTGAAACAAGGAGTAGTCATAATTAGCTGCAATTAGTAGCTAATAGCATTAGCTACTTATTCTTCTCTTAGTAGCACCTTTGTAATCACAGAGGAAGGTATTCATTCACCTGGGAGGCCTGTCAGATGTACAAGTCCATCTAAGAATGCCTAATTCCAGGTAGAAACGGGTGACATCAGAAAGCAACACTAGTATGTTAAATGCCCCTACGGTCAGTTTACTGGATGAAGCCATCTGGCTAGGGAAATCACAGCGTACCCAAGTTCACACAAGATAGGCAGCGCTCGCTCTCCAGCCTGCATTGCTGCCTCCTCTCTGTTTACCCTGGCTGCAGACACTGGCTCCTAGAGCAGGGAGCAGCTCTACAACACATGAACAGAGCCCAGGCTGTTAATTCCATGGAAGCTCTAGCAATAGCCTTTACATACAATAAACTACTACAACTCTTTGCACTGTTGAATAATGATGTGTGCAGCTGCTAAGTAAAAGAGAGGGGAGACAATGTGGTGTAAAAACTGGAGTGCTTCATGGCATTGGCACGATTTAGCAAGTAATACTCCAAAAGCAGAAAGAGAATTTAAACAGATAAAAGGTAATTCCCTCTTGCAATTAAGGCAACCATAGCAAAAAAGGCAAATATCTGTGTGAAAATTTTCACACAATCTATGTCTAATCACCCATAGATAAAGTGGGCCTGTTTTCATCTCTGTAGGTTTAGCTTTTCTTCACAGATAGCTTTTGTTCATAGATTTATCTCTAGGTGATGCCATAGCCTAACCTTCATTTATTTTCCAACTTTCATGTTGGAAAGCTATTACCAAATGCAGTGCTTCTAGTTTAGTCTCTCCTTCGTTACACTTATTGACCAAAACCAGCTGCTCCATCTTTACCTCCTCATTTGTACAGCATCACTCGCTGCAGCTGGTGCCACCAGAATGTTCAGGTAACTGTGGAACAAGGAAGAGGAATTTGCAGATCTTTTGATAGGACCCCCAGAAAAAAAAACCCAAAACAACAAAAAACCCAAACCAAAAAATCCAAACTGTTTGCAATAGACTTCTTAGGGGCAATAACTCAGCGCGAGTTAAAAACCTCCACCCTACTGCATCGCATTACCATTTATGCAATGTTGTATGCCAGTGCTGTACTACAAGCTAAGTAAATTCTTCAGACAATATGTTCTTTCCCTAAGAAACCTGCAATGCAGAAGCCTGTCTCCACATCAGTTACACTACACATGAAATTGTCCTGCATTGCCTCGCTGAACTGTAGCAGTTTCTGCATCTAAAACATTTTCACAGATGTATTACATCTCAATTGCAGATCCCAATTTTATTCTGGTGCCACAAAATCAAACTGAAGGACGGGAAGAGGAGTTCTCAAACCACAGTATGTGCTTGAAGTTATTTTGCTTGCCATTCTTTTACCTCTCAGTCACTGATCAGAAAAAAAGATGTATTTTTTAGGTGCAATTTTAACATGATAAGCTATGGACAATATCTCTAGTGAAAGTGTTATCTGGGAAAGTTTTTACACAACTAGATTTATTGGCATAAATAAGGGCTTCTGCTGTAACACTACATGAATGCTTTAGACAAAGCATCCAAAAGTTTCGAAGTTGTATGCTGGCTGGTCATCAGCGATACCTAGTGAGAATGCCAGCTGGTACAGAGTGCTAAACCTGTCAATGGCATGGATGTTTAACCCATTGCTCTGCTAAGTGGATTCACAGGAAAGCACACCATGCTCAGAAGTCTACCAGAAAAACAATCTATTCAAAACGCTGTTTTAGAGCAACTACCCAGTAGCTTTGAGACTATTACAAGGTACTGTAGATCTGTATCTTGGGCACTCCATCCTACCAATCTAAGTATCCAAGAAGGATCTTCCCTTACCCTCTGGGAAATGGTGTGGATTGCAGTGCTATTAAGTATCTTCTAGCAATTGGTTTTAGGGTAGTATTGCAGCTCTCAAAGAGAGTCATCTTTACATCATGCTCTCAGCACTAAATGAATAAGCAGTTACTTTGCACGACTTAAGTTTATAAAACATTAAAGGTCAAAGGTAACCCTGGAGGGCAAGAGGCCTCCAGGATGGCACAGTGGGGATATACCAGTTTCTGCAGCTTTCAGTGTACACTTTGAAACCTACAGCTCAAATCAGCAGGTATTTATTTAGAATAACATCATTTAAAGGACCCCTCAGTAAGAGTCAGCTATGATGCTCACACCCCACGCTTCTGGTTCCTTAGTGGAACGCCTCAATGGCTCTTTCATTCTCTCCTTTTATTCTGGGTTGTTAAACCTTGCTATCCTTTCAGTCAATGCCTTGAAAGGAGTTATCATTCCAGAACATTTTTATGGCACGGGGAGATTTTAAATGAAGAGCATTTTACTGCCATCATGGCTAGTGTGGCTGTAGTTCTCTTAATATTTAAATATATTACGTTTTCATCACTGTTGAAAAAAACCTCTGCAAAGAAACCATGAGTTAAGGTGCTATAAATCAACAAACCCCCTAAATGTCAGCACAAAATTTTCAGAGCAAAAAGTACACAGGTGTTCTCAGAGGTCTTGTAGGAATACCTGTCGCCTGGTCGCTGCACTCCGTTGCATGACTTTGTTTTTTTAATCTTGTGATTAGTGTCAACATCAGTGGATTCAAGAAAAATGTTGGAAGTCATTCAAAATCATGAGGCTTTACTGGATGATCTTCAAAGTGATATTCATCAAGCAGTCAGCAACTTAGGTGACTTACAGAGAATATTTGAAAACAACGGTACAAGCATGGTGTTAGAAGTGAACCAGAGCAATTCAGGTGAGAGGTCTGACGCAGAATTACCAGCCTGCCAATAGGCCCTGTAAAACCACACAGAGCAGAAAGAAAACTTAAAAAAAACCGAACCACCCTGTTATTCCTTGGTCTGCTGGTTGCTTCTAAGGAGAGAAAAAAATGGCTGCAATCCCAACACGAATGAACCAAATTCAAGAGTAAATTGAAATGGGAAATGAGATAAAAGGCAGATTCCTCCAGAATCCTTGTGGCCTTAACCACAGAACAGAGAGGTTGCTTATACCTAAAATTTGTTAGCTTACTATTCTGCTTCTACGACTTCTTCTCTTCTATGGGGATGCAGAGCTTAGATTTAGTTTTTGTTCTTTTTTCATACTCATGCTATATACTCTGATGTGCGGAATATCAGACCGGTGTATGTAAAAAAACTGTAACATTCAACCCTTCTCTGGAACATTATTCCTGCCATATATAGGAGTGAGAAAAAAAGAGCTATGGAATTTGACCTACTAATGTGAGCCACTGGCCACAGACACATTTTCTAATGTTAGACTATTGTCCTCAGTGAACTTCAAGGCACTCAAGTTTGAACATTAAAGTTAGAAATCAAGCCTTAGTATAATTCACACCTAGTACACGTACCTCACAGATTTTTCAAGTTATTTAGTCCTGGCCTGGAATATTCAGCTGTTAAGAAGCTGTATAACTTCATAAAGTAGAAGGTGCATTGTAGAAAGCATCAGAAAAAGAACAACATTATGAGACAGTCAAATAAGCAAGAGCCCATCAGCCAAGAACTGCTGTGAAAATGGGCAGTTATGGCCACTTACAAAAATGCTCGTACAGGGGTTTCAAAATGTAGTATTTTTATGACTTAAATGAGGCAGTCAATACATATCTAAGTTACTCTCTGCAGACTCAAAAGACACAATGTGCCTCACAGTAACCTTGATTTAAAATCAGGCTATTTTTGCAATTGTCAAAATTTATCATATGGTCAGATTTTGGGGAGTAAGATGGCAGTTACTGTAGAAACATAGCTGAGTTACCCTGGCCAGACTAAGATGTGTTCCAAAAGCAGAATTTAAATTTAATTAAATTAATCTTTTTAAACTGTGTTAACAGATCTACAGGAAAGACTTCTGCAGCAGGTTTTGTTTCCCCATGTGGAGAATTTTCTAAGGAAACATTTTAACCCAATGTGGACAAGCTTCAACAGAAGCTTACAGAACCTCTCAAACATGGTAAGAAACCTGTCCCATGACGTGGAAGCCAACAAGAAAAGCATAGAAAGATTCCAAGAGAGCACTGTGCCCAAGAAGGAATTCCAGGAGCTGGGAACTAAGTTTGAATCAAAAGTCCAAGAAAATGTAGTGAAAGTTGATCAGGTGAAAAGAGATATAGAGAACCGATTGCAAATGCAGCAGGCTAGTATTCACTATAATCTCACCATGATCAAGGCAGATACCGACACAAAGCTCAAGAAGTTTCATAAGATACAGCAGTCCCACTTCTTAGCTTTGAACAGCAGCATATCAAACATGAAACAAGAGCAAAACAATCTTGAAAATAAATTTGAGACTTTGAAAAAAAATTTAACAGAACTCTCCTCACATCATGGTCCCAAAGATGAAAATACCCAGTTAACCATCAGACAAATAAATGACGTTCTGGCAGGGCATGCAAAGCAGCTTAAAGAACTTTACATGGAGTCAGATGTGGCCTTTCAGAATATTGCAGTTTTAGAAAGGTGGTTTAAAGAGTTAAAAAAAAATATCTCAAAGTATAGGCCAGAGGATCTTACAATAACTTTAATGGAGAAATCGGTTATTATGGAAGAAAACAAAGCAGCAATGGAAAGGCAGGTATCAGAGCTTAACTATACTCTCTCAAATCTTCGGGAAAACTATTCAGATCTGTTGAGGTACATGGAGGAATGTAATTGCCAGAGAATATCTTCTGACACTGACGTACTGGAGGAAGATTTAAAGAATATCACTTATTCCCTTGAAGGCACCCAATCAACTTTAAAAGATATGAAGCACTTAGAGTCAGTTTTCAGAGATCTCTTGAGGAATGAAATTGAAGAGCTCTCCTCAGCTTTTCCATCTATCCATCAGTCCCTTAATCTCCGTCAAGAAGAAAACAGACAGCTTCAGTCGCAAGTTACGGCTTTTTCAGAAGACATAGGCTTCTTGAAGAAGAAAGATGAAGAGATTCATCGACACATCAAGTATCTCAACAGTTCTTTCGTCTCTCTTTTGGAAGATGCCATGCGGCATGAAGCAGCACTGGAGGCTTTACTGGGAGAAGAATTTATGGAAGTCTTGTTTGAAGAAGATCCTAGTATCCTAATATCATCAGTATTTCAGCTGCAAGAATCTCTCAGACATATCTCTGATAAACTCCAAGAACAAAATAGGACTTTAGAATCTCTTATAAAGAGATCTCATCTCTTGGAGAGAGGTCAACAGAATAATCATGATGCTCGTACATCTCCTAAGCATCCCAAAGAAGAAACGCAAACATCCTCTACTCTAGATGAAGTTAGTAGTCAACACAGCATCGTAGAACATATGGAACCCAACTATGAGGCTGCCAAAGATGACTCCTTGGATAGCTCAGCTTATAACGATATCATGACTCTGAAGAATGATATCAAACACCTGAGCCTGGCAATTAAGAGGCATGAATCCAGAAGTGACATGAATCTTTGCTGCAATCACACAATAGCAAATGTAATTGAGCCACTCAACATTTCTGTGGAAATTCTCTCATCAGATTTAGCAACCATCAAGCGGAAGCTGGAGGAACATCTGCTGATTTTTAAAAAGCTGTTTGGAAGCAATGAAGATTTAGTTGCCTCAAATATAAGTCTGGATGTTGCAAAGATTCAGTCAATGCTGACCAGAAAAGTGAGAAGGCAACAGAAAGGTCAAGACAAGCAGAGAGACAAGAAAAAGCCCGAGAAGCACAGAGAAAATACACAAATGATAAGTGGAAGAAATACAGTGCAGACAGAACTTTTGGAAAAAGGTGGGTTCTTTTCTTTTACTTGCTCATGTGCAGGTCTAGTTTCTTTCTGGGCCCTGCTGTAAGTTACACACACAGAGCATATTAGTTGTAAGACTTACCAGGTATCTTGTGGGATGCCGGAGGGAGAAATTCTGACATTATTCACATCCTCCCCCTCCACCAAAATAAGCAGTTTGAGTGAGAACCAAGTTGATAACACTGCTGCACTTTACTTGAGGCCAATAAAATCACAACCATTATAGCAGCTGGGAAATTGGCCTTGAACTAATGCAACTTTATATATTTAGAACACAAATTTTGTTTGTAGATGCTCGTATTAACGTAGTAGCAGTTTTCTCTTTTGAAGGTGATGGGGAGTGCTAGGCTTCCAGGTCTTGCTTCTTTTTCCTCTGTTATATGAGTCTGGAAGGAACATACTCAAAGATCAAATCCTTCCTACCATGGACAGGCACATTGAATGAACTGCTATAATTGGCACAAGTGGAACAGGAAGGACTGACCAGAGAGCATGCTCTCTCTGTTATTGCTAAGCTTCAGAGACAAGTTTTCAGCTTATACTTCACTGTGACTGGCCAGTTCCCTTTCCCTGTAAACATGTGGCCGTAAGCACCTGGTAATTACAACCACCACAGCTTTAGCTTCTATGATTGTAGCCTTTGTTATGGACATAAAACATAGAGCAAAAATCAGCCCCTTTAGGCTGCAAAACTGTAGTTAAGACTGAATAAGCAGAGAATGTATTTCAAACCAATTTATTTTTAGGACAGCAAAGAAGTGCTACCTTTTTTTTTTTCCTGGGTGGTCTCAGCCTTATACTTTTCCAAGAGTAGCAGTTCAGATATTTCCAGGGAACCATTTGATCTAATCCCAGGCACATACCCATTTCAAGCATTTAGCTCTACAAAGGAGCATACAGAAATCGGGCCTGATAGGGCTTCACCCTATCTCCCACCCTGATGATCCCGGGGAGAGAAGAGCACTCGCGACTAAAATCCTGTTCCTCTTTCTTTTTCAGACTCACTGGTGGCATTCCATGTGGGATTCTCAGAAAGAAAGGATAAAGAAAAGACTCTGAGGTTTAATGAAACTTACATCAATTATGGAAACAGCTATTTCCCTGAACATGGCTACTTTAAAGCACCACATAAAGGTGTCTACCTGTTTGTGATCTCTGTGGAGTTCAGCTCAGGACCAGCATTAGGACAACTCTCCTTTAGCCGTGGGTACAAAAGAACTCTTGCAAGTAGTCAGAGGAAAACACCAAATGGAAACACCATGACAACTTTTGCTATGGCAGAAATGGAGAAGGGGGAGAAAGTATGCTTCGAATTGCTGCAGGGCTCTCTAGTGAAACGGAGTCCACCTGGGACAACAATGGGTGGATTCCTAATATTTAAAACTTGAATAGTGACATTTTGTTTTACTGATATCTTCCATAGATGCAATGGATCAATTCACTATTGCTTCATCTGTGATGTATTCAATCCTACTGCATGTGTTTAAACATAGCACTACCCTAGATTTGTCTTCGTGCTTCTTTTCTGGAAGTGTTTGGCTTTTGATTAGTTGCTTATAAGCAGCAATGGGATCTTCTTTCAAATGATAAGCTAATGGTTTGGACTCCAAATGTATCCGCACACACATTCCCAAATCATTCCACTGTGAGAACGGCACCCAATTAGAAAAAATGTTTTGTGGGACCTTCTTCACTTACAACACAAATAATTTCTCCTTCCCCCGGCAAAAGAGTATCCTCCCATGGCAAATCCCCCCACCACTGGCAAGGAAAAGATTTTAGGAAGGACTGGATGTATCGACTCTCATATTTTGCGAATAGTAGCTTAAAACCAAGAAACCAGGACAATTTTACCTTTTAGTCCTCTGTGGACCACAGGCAGTCACAGACTGTCTTGGAGACTTCTGCAACTCACTCCAATTTAATGTTTCAGTCTGTGCACAACACGAACACTAAAAGAGATCGATCAAATCCAGTAAGATGCACCCTATGCTAGTATTTGTAAGCAAGGATCTTAGAAATGGCCTGGTCTTTTTGCTTCTGAGCCTGTGGCGTATTTCAACTACACCGCGAAAATTTAATAGTAATATAACATTGTTAAGATTAATTACATCTACATTTAGACATTAGGAAAATGTCAACAATATTAAAAAAATATTGCTGAAAATGCAGTTTATTTCTAAAGGTAATCCTGAAGAATATCGTGAATTCAGCCCAGAGTTCAGCATTTAGTAAATAGTTTAAAACCAAGCAAGCAAGCAAATAAAACTAACAGCAAAATGCCAAGTTCAATGGTCTCCTGCCACTGTTGAATATAAAATAAATTTATAATTAGAGTAAATCAAAGAATAGAATTTCTGAACTGTGGAGGTTTTTTTTTTAATTTCCAAAATCTCAAGATGACCATGTCTGGTCATGTCCTAAACTTTTCTTTTGTCAAATAAAATATCCCAAAGGCTTTAATTTTAAAGAAGTTAAATTATTGTGTTTATTTTCCTTGTCTATGCTGATGTTTTACAAAACAGTATTAAAACAATTACATTTGCCAAAATGAAATGCATCCACAAATTCCCAATATTTTTGGTGAAAGAGGTAAATTATTATTATGTATTTTATGCCCTTTCAAGGTAGAATTTTCTAACAGAAATCTATCCTGCTGTTAAGGGGTTTTCTCCCCACCTACTTGTATTCTAAGCAACACTAAACTACAAAGTTATTAAAAAACCACATTGGTATCAATACATATTGCACTTAAGACAACAGTTTGACAAGCAGACAATATGTGTCTTTTGAAATAAAGCTGCAAAGCAGTTTCAGCTACTGACTTGCCAAGAAGATTGTTATTCTCCAGCCTGAAAAATCCAACAAAGCAAACAACTAAAAATGATCTCCCATCTACTCCTAGCCAATGCTGATTTTCATATGAGATTAACAGGCCAAGTATCCCCATTTATCTAGCACGGAGCCACATCTTGCACTGCTCTGCGGCAGGCAGCACAAAGTGCCTGCAAGCTCATCTTCTGTCCCACAGATTGCTCAAATATCTGAGGGAAGGAAGAGAAGAAAAACTTGAAGAGGTGAAATGTCAAAAAGGAAGAAAAGCATTAAATTCTGAGACTGGGTTCTTTCAATACAAAGCTACTATACTGGGGTGACCCAGATGTTTTTACCAGTGGTCCTCCTATTATGGGCTTTTGTGGTGGCAGCATTCTGCAGCGCCAAGCCAAGCGTGCTGCCTAGGTCAGAGTAGCTCAAGGAACACCCCATCTTCAGTGCACACCAATTCTGCAGCTACCACCTAAGTTCCACAATTAAATACAGACAGGGGATATAGATATTTAAAAACACCTTGCTTGTTTTTAAAGATTTGACAGAATGCTTCAAGTGGAGCAAAAACCATACAGCTACTTGAAAAAGGACATGGTAGGTAGTAGATAGGATAGCAGTTCATCCAGACAGGACTTTTAAAAGGTTTGGTATCTTTGCGCTTACCAGAGTTTACTTTTGTGGAAGAATAAGCCAGGCAAGTTCAGAGATCATCGACTCCAGAGTGAACACAATATTAATATAAAGATATTTTCATTATTTGTATTCTTCAGATATGTACTTAAGTTAGCCACCTGCATATACAAAGAAAATATACTTGAATAAAAGGCTCTCATTTTTAGACTGTGAAGCACAAAATTAACAAAAGATAATGGGTTAATACATTCTATTGGCTGCATAAGCCAGGAAACCTGAGTTCCTTCTCAAGTGGCAAGAGAAAGACGATTTAAGCTACTTGGTTGTGGTTGTGTTTTTCTTAAATGAATACATCAGCTTTTTAATAAACTTCTATCTAAACCACCTCTCAAATACTAGCGAACTATTTGACTACTAGTATAAATTTCTTTGAAATCCCCCACAAACACTTGGTTTTTGCAGTTTTTTGGGGGGTTTGTTCTTTTTTTTGGTAAGATTAACATAGCCACATCACCATGACCTGCATTTTTAGGCAATAGACTAGAAGAAACCATTTTAATGCAGAGACAGCAGACTCCAGATTAGGACCCAGAAGAAAGAAAAATTTGCCACAAAAATGGCAAGAGGACAAGGATGATTAATTGACAATTTAAAACATAGCTATTGGTTGGCTCAGTGGATTAAGAATAGGGGATGTTCAAACATGAAAAACAAACTGAAGCTGACCATAGGCATTAGGAAAAGAGAGTTGTTAGAGCAGACAAGTTGCTTCAGTTTATCTCATAGCAGACCAACTAGACCAGCATGCCTGATGGCAGTTTCAGCCAAGCACCAACAGGCACAGAAACATGTATGCTCACTCCAAGATACAGATATATATCTCTCATCACTCTCAGCCTCATATTTAAAAAAAGCTTCCAACTTCTCTTAGTACTTCTCAGAAATCTGCCAGAAAAGATTGCCAATAATTCAGGTTTCTGGATTTCCAGAGCAAACCACTAAGCTTTATAAAAAGATAACAAAAGCTGTGCATCTTAATGCCTTCATGTAATTATTTTGTTACTGAAACTTCTACTGCTTTATGAATGTATCTTACAGTACTTTACATTTTAAAATTAAAGTCTCCTAATTTTTTTTTCTTTTCCATCACTGAGATGGTCTCCTTACTTTACTCAGAATGTAAGTACCCATCGTACATAAACAATTTTACTTTCTATAGATCCATCAATGCCTGAATTCTGCAGTCAGATGAGTCTGAACTCATTTCAGGTATCCACATCAAGCCAGTCTCTGAAGTCCATGGTGGTGCTCCTTCACGAACCAGATTCATGAGGTGGTCAACCCACAGTAGTGGTCTTCTCATGACTCAGGTTCACAGCTGGTATTGACTTACTACATTAACATCAGTGAGAAAGACTGAAGTGGTATTCTGGGGAGCAGTGAAGATAAAGCTGCAGAAGGGATTAGTGAAATTAAGGGAATTAAATCTGATCCTTTATGAAATTAGTGACACTTCTGCAATTTATTTAAAAGGGTGTGACTGAATTCACCAACTACTCAGTATGCTTTTTGGCTTGCATACAAAATATACATGTGGGGTTTTTAGACATGTCAGTGGATATAGCTGTTATCAGTTCTTAGACACCGATGCAAGCTAATCAGTAACACATTTTTATATAGAGATCAAAAATAATCATATAGAAATGATAACATTTTGATATTTATTATTAGTAGGCAGGAAAACTTATTTTCACTGATCAAAATCCCCCATTTTTTTTCAAAAGGATCTTCCTTATCCTTAGTATATAGCACCATCCTGTGGTCATTTCTAGAAGCAACATTGTTGTCAAAACTGGTGCAAAAAGTTTGTTACCCACAGTATAGTCAATATGTCCTCCTGTCACACTAATATAAAAATTCCAGTTTTCAATCCAACCATGATCAGTGTAATCAGTGAAGATATTGCACAAACTACACAATAGCCACAACCATACGAAAAAGTTTACTTTGCCAAGATACTAATTGTAAGGCGACCAAATCATCGTACAGTATAATTTCCTGGTATGACGTATTAAGGAAAAAAGACTACATACAGTCTAGTGTTTCCACTGTACTTTCGAGAACTCTATTGCAAGATTTGACACTTGACTTTACAAGGGGAAAAAAAAAGTGTTATAATTATCTTTGCAATATACTGATAACAGTTTATATAACGCTCAGATATTAAAACTTTCTAGCTACTATAAAAAACTATCTTTAAAGCTATGATTACTCCTGATCAATGACAAAAAGAGAATAGAAATTGATCTTACTTCTTGCTGCTTGCAAACTAAAACTGAACTCTAGGGAGAGAAGTAGCCAATACATTTCTGCAGTAAGAAAACCAATTCTGAGATTTTATAGAATTGTGTACTCACAGATGAGATAGCCCCTTGATTTGTCTTCATTTGCTTGAATCGTAAAAAACAGAGTGAATTTAGCAGGCTATACAGAAGCACCTGCATTATTTTGTGACCAACAGCACGTAAGTATATTAGCTCAAATCTCTTCATTTGGATATCACTACACGAAAAGAACGCTGTACACAGAGGGAACAAAAAAGAGTTACAGAATCCCCCATCCCTTTTATTTTTTCTCTTTTTACTTGATGAGCTTGAGGCAAAATGTTATGGATAAAACCAACATGTAGTGAACTTGCATTATGTTCAAATACAATTATTCAATTTTGACTTGCTTCTGGCTTTGCTGTTAGACACGAATAAAAATCAGAAGGAAACACTGGTTTTACTATCGTGCCCAAATTTAGTCCAAGGAATACAGAGCCTGAACTTATAGAGCACCAAATAATCCTGAACACCATTGAACAATAGAAGTGATCATTAACAACTTATTCAAAGACTGTGGGGAAAAAAACATAAATGAGGTATTAAAAAGTAGGGAATTATTTAGTTACAGTATTACGATTTCCAAGTCATTACATTTTTAAGGCAAAAATCTTATAGTAACAAAACACATTACTAATGTGTACTAAAATAAGGTTATTTACTTAAAAATGATACATTGGACATAATCTGTGTACAGAACAAGCAATTCATGGTAAACTCAATAAGGCACCTTCTAAAGCAGATGCTGTACAAAATACATTAGTGTGTTACATTTTTAAAGGAGTATTCTACACTTCTGGCATATAACACACAAGAGTGTGACCATTTGTCTCGTTCCACTCTCTCATATTTTATTTACATCTTCTCTAGGTTAACTACAATGTTATTTATTCTTCTTGTATACAATATAGTACATTTCATTTTGGGCATGGCATGTCAGAGCACAAATGTCACTATGTGATGTGGGCTTCTATAATTGCATTCAATGGTAAAATATTACAAAGCAACAATTACATGAGATTTGTTCAAAAATTAGAAGTAATGTGCACTCCACTTCTGCTATACAAACCAAGGCTAATATACCATGGCTCCATAAAGCACTGTATCGTGCAACACTGCCAACCATTTTTAGACATCACCCCTATTTGGAATAAAGACTGTGGGCACAGGATAAAGACTTTTGACTTCAGAGGCACTGTCAGAAGAATGAGGAAGTGCTAAATCATTCTAATATTTGACAGAGATGAGCGCATAACTTCTCTTTAAAAATATCTGCAATAGCGAAAGAATGCTTTTTAACTTAATTGCTTTTCAAACATTTTAGACCATTAAAATACAGTCTGTGAAGATGGAATAGATGAAATGTATCCAAATAATTTGTTTTATAAACACATTCAAATAGTCATTTAGATCAAGATCTAAAATTTGATTCTAGACTACTATGGAGGTAACAAAGTATTAATTTTACATTTTATTCAATACCTCAAAATAGACTAATTAAGAAAATAATTGGGAAAAGTAATGGATATTGGGAAAACTGTCAGTTTCCTGAGTAAAAGTCAGGAAAAAAAATCCTATATTGAGTAAAACTTAGAATAAAATCAAAATGTAAGCCTACATTTTTCTGTAGGAATACTACGTTTCTTGTAGAAATTACAAGTTAACCAGGAACACAAAACCTTTCCTTTCAGTTGCTGTAACCATAAGAATTATATAAGTGATTCAAATTATATTCCACCTAACTGAAATCACACGGAGTAGGTTAAATAAACACAAAAAACCCCTCTGTATATGAGTGTTTAAGAACTTGCAAGGCACAGTCTTAATACTCCCCAAGGTATTTTCCACACTTTTGATTTTTGTATTTAAAAAAACCAAACCAAACCAACCAAACAAAAAACCCCAAACCACATTTGTCAGTTTTGGGGGATATTTTTTTTGTATGACAAATGCTGAAAATTTTGACCAACAAAATGAGATTAATCACACTCCAGCAGAAGCAGCCTATTACCCTCCCTGACCTTAAAGGTTTCTGAACTCTACAGCATTGCATAAAGCAACAGCTTAACTTTAGAATCTGCACTAAGTATTCTTAATTATATAAAAATTAAGGGGCTACCTTTGAGCGAAGTTTTTTTTTCCCAAATGATTGTTAAAAATATCAGTATAGACATACTTAGGCTCCAAACAGTGAATGACTTTGCATGGAATGTAGGTATGTGCTCAAGTGCTTTATACAACCAGATCCTTTAGCAATACTGTTTTTTCAAATATCAGGGAATCAAGGAATGCTAAAGACCTAGCAGCTCCTGTTCAGGACAATGACAACTGCATATGCATGATACGTTTGAGTATGAACCTAGCAACTGAAGTACTGAAAAATTAAGGTTAAGCTTAAGGTGGAAAGATTTTTTTTCTTTCAAAGATCATCTTTGCAGCAGCCAGCTCACTTCTGTATTAATGTGTAAATTAATTTAGGTCTTAAGATGTCTACCAAAGATCACCACCCTATTGCCTTGCACATGCCTAAACAATGGATAAGAAAATAAGTGAATAATTACAAATTATTGAAATTCATGCTTCCAGCAGTAGCTTCCTGAAGACTTGGGAAAAATGAATTTAAAAATTCACAAAACAAGTTTACAGCTAATAATGCTGTGGCAACTTCTAAAAGAAATAAAACAATATTCTAAACAGGAATGGGTTAATTTAAACAGACCTCCATGCTCTGAAACTTTAAGCTAACAGGGTACCTACATAAACATTTTTCCTTCTTACTGATAAAAATCCTAGAGAAGGAAAAAAAAAAAAAAAAGCTTATCCCTTACTTTTTTTGGCTCATACCAAATATTTTCCAACTACCTGTGCAAAAATTATGTGCAAAGACATGATTAACAATTTCAAACTCATCGTGTATTTCTTGGCAACGGACGGAGAAACATTTTTTTAAAAAGCCCTTTATCGTGAGGATTGTGGCACAAAATCATGTATCTCTTGCTCTTTTCAAATAAGTTAAAACCATAGCTGACACACCTATGAACTTCTCAGCCAGAATACATATTAATACTTAAAGGCATTACTGAACAAAAGTAATGACTTTATTTTTTTTAAAAAAGAAATGTCCCTCAAAATAGCTAGTTTTCTATAAAATATGTAGAACTGTTAAATAAAGTCTGTACATCAAAATAAAAAATAAAAATACTGCAATCTTTTGCCTGACCATTTACATTATGTGAACTACAGAATTTTAAAACAACAAAAAAATGTTATAAGGTTGTAATTGTTCACGAATCACATCAGTTCTGTATTACATTGTCTTCTATCAGTTGTATTTTCAAGGGAAATTTAAACATATATCAAAACAATCTCCACATACATATTTTAAGACATCAAATAATCTGGCATAAATCAATCTGAAGTTTTAATATTTTTCATCAATTTTAATATTATTCATAATTTTTTTTTTCAAATCTCGACTATGGCATATGTGTGTGTGCGTGTGCATGCATCTAATTGTACACATGTACCTAGGACTAGGTGTTTTTTGTTTTGGTTTTTTTTTTTTTTGCTAAAGCACAAAACACATCATATAAATAACTTCCCTTTTTAAAGTTATCTAGAACAAGATTTACAGTACAAAGTTATAGGCACTTAAATTATCAAATAGGTTCAATGGTTCCAATACTGTGTGTTCATTCTTCAGATGATTCACGCATTTGAAGCTTCAACTTGAGTTATGGTACTATTTTCTAACTTCAAAGTAGAAGTGCCAAAGGAGTTATAAATCAATAATTCTGCCTTACAGTAACCTCATGGAAGGGTTCTGGCTTTTAACCAACTTGTCTTGATCAGTGAAGAAAAGGAGGGAACTACAGTTTCCTGTGCATGCCAAATACTTGGCACAATAAGACCAAATTTTGCAATTATGTTAACTTACTTTATCTTCATGAATTATCTTTCAATGCCATTCCTCCCAAATGTGCTTAACTAGAACTTAAAACACCCACTGATTTACCTTGGCCCAATCTTGAATTTTTTAACTGTTGACTAAGTGGCCCACAGACATGGCCTCCTGTGTTTACATTAGGGCAACCCAGCTCAAAATCTTCTGCATGTTGTGGATCTTATCTTCAACAGTTCACATATTCAGTTCTCCTGGTCTTGACCTTTACTGTATTCTCTAATCTTCTGAGTGCCCAGCCTGCGCTTCCTGCCTTCCCTCTTTTGTGTCTGTAAATGAGACTTTTCTCAAGCCTTTCAAAACTTATCTTCTGGAAAAAAGTTCAGAGCATGACAAGCACCTACGAGTAGGTCCCAATAAAGTAGAAAGGCAAAACACATCATCAGTGGTCTTTCTGTTAAGATGTATTCTACAGCAAAAATGCTGTTGCATGTGGCATTGTGAAAAATATGCCAAATTTCATAGTTATACAGTTATGGAGCCCACTAGATTGTAAGTGAGATGACCAAGGCAGTCTATACCTCTAAGACAGGTTGTTTCAAGCTCTTTACAGACTTAGGTAGGCATTCCTTAATTTTTTAATGGTTCACATTTTTGCAGTTCTCCTTGTGACTAAAACAAGAATAAAAATAAAATTAAAACTGAGATTTTGGAAGATAACTTAATGGCAAGGAGCAAATTATGTAGTAAATCTGTGATCGTGGAGCCACAAAATGCATGGAGCCCTGACCATAAAACTTTGTTCATTTAAATGGTTTCTTTTCTATTCCAAATGACAGCAAAATAATCCTGGCACACACATAAAGGCATAAGGACTGTAAAACCGAGTAGTATCACAAACAGATTCATAACCTACAGGCTGTTTCACAAAAACTTGGTATGGATTGACTAGGTTTTATCAGGTAGAAGGCAAAAAAAAAAGCTTATATTCTCCATCTCTGTTGAATCCATATAGCTTGTTAGGCTTTCACAGAAAGCACTGTAATCTGAACATTCAATTCAGTACCCAGAGTTTTACTGGAGACTCACTAAGTATGCCTGAAGTCTCAATGCAGCTCAAACAAAACCAAAATGTGTATTTTATCAAGGCTGTCCATATACATAGCATGTAGTGTATAGAGGCTCTCAGTATCACAGTCTATGAAGTACTGAAAGATTTGATTAGCAGCCTGTAGAAGTGTGCTGAGAAAATACACTGAATCTCAGTTATTTCCTCTTTCCACATAGGTCTCACCCATGTTTGAGTGAAAAGATGTAGGAGTCCAGCTTTGCTCTCCAATGTCAATTTACTATGTCAAATCTTTACATCTTGTGATTCCACCATCTTGGCAAGTGTCTTCTTGATCCTCAAGGCAGTGAGCCTTGAGGCAGGATTATGAGCCCAGCATTCAGACATTAATTTCAATATTGCTCTTAAACACTGTAAAATAAAAAACAAAGAAAAAGTATTGTAACAGCTGACAGAGCTGAAGTGTATAATTTTGGTTCACTATCAAGCCCAAATTCTAGAACTCTTAAGTCCAAATGTGCAACTTCTACTTTTTCTGCAAAATTGCTGATCAAGAACTATTATAAACAGATCAGCTAAAAAAACAAAAAAAAACCCAAACCAAAAACAAACCAAAACCCAAAAACCCAACCCCACAACAAGCACTTCCCAATCCTTCTTGTATTACAGTAGCTGAAACTAACTTAAATGTTTTCTTTACTTTCACAAAGATGCATTACCAGAACTTCGCATTACAACTCAAGAACAGCGGTAAAAAATGGTAGCAATAAGCAGAAAAATCTCTACATATATGGCAGAAAAACTGTAGACAACTTTTTCACTGAAAATGAAGATGTGACAAAAGTTCTGTCAGCAGTCAAAAAAATAAGGAAAAAACTGGGAACTCCTAAAAGAAATCAAGGATTTGGGGAAGAAAGGATATGGCATATCTAGCTTGCTATGTGAAATAGTTATGTCTTATTTACTGTGTTCAAGCTGTGGCCCTTTAAAAACACATTTAAATTTAATATTTCAGTTACATCATGGCTTGCCCTGCAATGTACCAGAAAAAAAAGGGGAAAAAAAAAAAAAAAGATGAAATCTACAAACACAAAGAAATCACTTCATATTCCATGAAAGACGTTATGCCACAAACCAATATGCTATATACCTTAAGACTAGTAAAACCAATTAAAAACTCATTTAAGTTTTAGCTCCAATCAACACTCTGAAAAATATTCCACTATCTAAAAAGAAGATCTCAGGTAGAGCAATATTCATACACTTGGATGCTGCTTAAGGGTATCTTTCCCCTCAGACCACTGAAAAGATACATTAAAAATGTGGTATTTTGAGTAGCTTTCTCCTATTGTTGCTGTGAGGTTTTCAGAATGTCTGAATGTAGTCTCTATTTTACAATATTTTAATATTTATTAAACTAAAATACCCTTCCATATTAATGAACAAACTGAACTAATTTTTCCTTTCAGCATACTCACTTCATCACTATTCCATCTATTTGATACTACTGGGCGTAGGCGTTTGACACACACCACTTCTCTCATGTCCTCGTAGGATGGATCATTTGGCACCATGTCATAATATGGCAACTGATACTCTTCAACAATACCTGGAAATAATTGTGAAAGATCAAGAACCATTAAAAAATAAAATAAAATAAAATAAATCTATATATCTACTCTCAGATTTCCTTAGCCAGGAGCAAAAATTTATTTACTTCTGTGCCAAGGAAAACCCACCACACTTATACTGTGATAAAAATCTGAAAATTTCACTGTAACAATCAGACATTTACCAGAAAAGCTCCAATATTATGAACATTAAGTTTAACAGCTGCAATAATTCCTTGCAGTCCCTTTGACTTTGATACCCAACATAGAACATGACACCTTCTAATCCAGTACATGCTACAAACAAACAGGGAGAAAGCATAAGATGAAAGAAAAAGAGAATACAAGTAAAGATCTATAAGGTCACAAAAGAAGAGTGAAAGAAAAGGAAGGACGAGTCACAAAAATACATGTAAGGAGAAAACTGAATGACAACAGAAATGCAGGAAAGTATAACAGAAGAATAGTATCTTGTCAATTACATTTTAAAAGTTTTATTAACAGCACAGGGGTGAAATACATCTGCATCCCACTATTTCTCCCAGACTAGGGACTCAGCTTTTTGACCAAGGAAAAAAAACTTGAGATGCTTAATTGTAAGAATCAAAAAGGTTTAGTTCAGTGATTTTCAAGCAGTGCTGTGGACAGACTGTTACTACTGCTTTTAAAGAATGCAAGCCTATTGATATAGCAGGCTTATTATATTATTTCCTGGAGAAGTATTGTTTAAGTGAGACAAGGGCATGGTAGATCTTATAAAGAGTATTTAAAAGTTTACCTCCTGTGACGCAACGCCGAGCCATTTCCCAAATTATCAGCCCAAAACTGTAGATGTCAGCCATGATGTACGGTTGGAAATGGTTTTTATTCAGGCTTTCATCTAGGACCTCTGGAGCCATGTAACGTTTTGTTCCCACTCTAGTATTCAAGGGAACATCAACTTCGTTTGTGTCACTGTATGAAAATATTAATTAGTGAATTGTGGACTATTACAAGACATGGTATGAAACCCTGTGTGATGCAATCACTACACTGCAAAGCTCCCATTTACAAATTAAATTCTTTCATTTATTTCACTCTCAATACTACACTTACAATACATTGTACCTCCCTGAAAAAGATTATCTAGAAAAATGATCGTGAGTATGGAAGTTGAGTTTACATTTTCTTTTGCAAGACAGTGAAAACACATATGAAAAAACTGAATTAAAAATCACTATAAAGATGAGTATATTTGGTTAACAACCCAGAAAATTATTTGCAAAGGCTTATGCTTTCTTTCAGGCTCTAGTGTAGTAAAAGACAATTTTTTGGCTCCACTGAACTTTAAAAATAAGTATTCAGTAATACTACTATAGTATTACTTCTTCAATTAAGTTTCAACTCCCTTTACACTGTTCAAATTTTCTATGGGATAATTTATAATGAAACTACGTGATAGCAATTACTATGAAAGGCCAGTTTTGAATAATGAATGAATTATAGTCTCCTCTTCCTCTTATTTTCCACAAGTCTTTTCATTGTTCTCTTAACAACCTATTTTCATCTCGATGCTTACCAGCATTCAAAGAAAGAACAGCATTTTACTCTCAAAACTGAAAAAAACTGAAAGCATGCAACCAAATGATTTCATCTTCCTTTTAAATTTGGTATCTGGTGCGTTAAAAAAAATTATATTAAAGTTTTCCCATTACAGATGATTTGTTCATCTACCTGTTAAACTTGACTGCAAGACCCAAGTCAGCAATGCAGCAGGTTCCATTTTTCTTTATCAAGATGTTTTTACTCTTCAAGTCTCTGTGTGCAATAGCAGGCTTGCCTTGTGTCCCATAAATTTCTGTGTGTAGATGGCACAGACCACATGCAGCAGAATATGCCAGTTTGAGGAGAGCCCTGTTGTCTAGTGTAGTGCATTTCAGAAAATCATACAACGATCCATTTTCATGATAATCTGTAATCAAGTAAAGCTGTGTCCAGGAGCCAGTGCCTTTAATATCTGCAGCTATGAAACCTATGAAATATAGAAACAAAGTTACAATTTATTTGTACGTAATTTTTAATACAACAGATTTGGTAAGAATTCCTAAAGCTGTATTGTCTTGGACTGTATCAAAAGATACCTGTTCCCCTTATTTTGGAAAACTAACGTAAAAGCTCAGATTTCAACTATACACGAGGTTACCATTCCAGCCTTCCAGCAAAGAGGTTGCAGACACGTTTCCAACCAAGAGCAGCAAGATTCTACCCTTTCAGTAACATTTTATTAGCATACATTAAGGGACACCCATCTGGTTATTCCACAGAAGCCGCCACATACCCCTCAAGCCACCCACTACGAAGTCCTCCTCCTTCACCCTCACACAAGCCCTCCAGTAGCCAAACAATGTACTGCTTCCTTACCGAGGATGTTTTCATGACGCATTAAAACAGTTTGGTAAATCTCTGTTTCTCGGAACCAACTGGCTTCTTCTGTGGTGAAAAACACTTTCACTGCGACTTTTTCACCCCTCCATTTGCCCATCCACACTTCACCATATCGTCCTTTTCCAACTTGCCTCACCATCTGAATTTGTTTGGCAATAGTGCGCTGAACCTAGGGAAGAAAAAAAAAAAATAAAAAATGAGGGGAAGGTGGAGGAGGGAAACCCAGTGATTAACCAAAACTACCTGGACAAGCTGCTTCTCAAGCTTGGACTGCTTTGAATTTTGATCCCATTGTAAAACTTGTTCTATATTATTTTCCACTACTCCCATTTCAAACTCGTTATTGCTGTCTCCATGGAAGAATTGTGTAAGAAATCCAAAAAGATTAAATCAGCTCAACTTCTTATTTAATTCAGATGCATTCTCTTGCATTCTGTTTGCTTCTATTTTACAAATAATTACAGTCATCTGTCTCGGCTAATTTTTATGCAAGTATTAGATAGGATGGTGAATCAAAAATGATGAACAACTATCAGCCAATAAAAAGCAGATCTATTTCATCAGACAGTGGACACTAAGGAAAAAAAATATCTTTGATTTCGTTCAATTCGATACTTAATACAAGTATCGAATTCATTGCATTTTTCATCTTAATGTCTGTAGGTTCTAATTTTTCTTTATATTTTGCTGATGCCAACAGTTTTCCTAACATATAATCTAATTTTGCACTTCATTTTAGTTAATTATGTGAAGATGGGCTTTCATACATGTTTAGCTTGTACTGTATCTTTCACAGTAATTGCATATAAAATAATTAACATATTGTATGGATAAACTGCTTTGTTCTAGGCATTAGGTACAAACCAAACTTTGTATTCAATGGACAGAAGTGCAGTGAAGAAAAAAAAAAACAAACTTAGTTTATGATTTACCAACAACGGTAGTCCCGAACCACTCCCAGAACTCTGTGACTGGTCAATAAGGTCTTTTAATGACTCCCCAGCTGGAATAAATGCTTCGTCTTGTTCCAGGTCACGATTATAACAGTGCCTTTTTGCCATTGACTTACAGTAATGCCTGCAAAAATAACAGAAGAAGTTAAGCTGAACTCCAAAACACTCTTCAAAATGTGGTAAACTGAGCTAGGAAAAAAGCTATTTAAATGTACAAGTTTTCTTAGAAGAAAAAAATAATAATCAGATTTTATTGTTCCTTTTTTTTTCAGAAATGTAACATTTTTTTTTAATATTAAGAAGTTGTTGTAATGCAGGTAGAGGCATGTCAGTTTATTATGAGTCAGGCGGAAAACCAGCATTCTTACTACTCAGCTCACAGCCAAGTGTTACTAGCATAACATCGCTGGTTTTGGTTTAAAGTAACAGACTGAACCTTGAACCATGGCAGATGAGGCTGACACATGCACATTTCTGCTGAAACTGCTAGAACAATGATCACCTCCAGCACAGGGCTGGAGCTGACAGAAGCAGGTATAGTCTCTTAAACTGCACCTGTATGAACTGCCATAGCTCAGCTGGTCAATTATTTAGTTTTGAAACACAGCAGAAAAAGTTACAAAACACATTCTTGTTGCTTTAGCAAAAGCATTCCACAAAGGTAAATCTCAGAAGTAGATGGAATTTAACTATCAAAAGTGACTGAAGATCCAAAACCATAAAAAGCATTAAGATATTCCTGTTTACTGGATGCTATAGCATCCAAGTTATATGTAGCTTAGAAAACTGTAAACAATTAGTAGCCAGAGGAAAGGATCAAATTCACTTAAATTCTATGCTGTGAACATTTAATTTTACCTAGCAATGCAAACTGCTATCCACAAAAGTGTGAAATTAAATTAGAACAGTTTCACTTCCAATCTATTTTTGTCAGAAATACATATGATTAACTAAGTGCATTTATAAAATAACTGTTCTGTTTACATGCATTTGGGAAATCAAAAAGGTTGCCAATAAAGAAAATGCTTTCCTTACTTGTAACAAAAGCAGCTAAATAAGATGATCATGACAATTATGCAGACTGCCATAGAAATCAACACAGCCATCCAACGAATGCTGCCATCAAAAAGTCCATCTATTTAAAAAGAAAAAAAGAAAAAAAAGGAGGAAAGTTTCCAAAGTCTATTAATTAAACATTTATTGTAAATGGTTTATTTAGGGATATTTTAATATACTGTGTATATGAATGTGCACAAACTGAAACACAGGAGTTTTTTTCTGAACATCAAGAAATACTACTTTACTGTGAGGGTGATCAAACACTGGCACAGGTTGCCCAAGGAGGCTGTGGAGTCTCCCTCCTTGGAGATACTCAAAAGCTGTCTGGACATGGTCCTGTGTAACTGGCTCTAGGTGGTCCTGCTTGAGCAGGGGGGGTAGACCAGATGATCTCCAGAGGTCCTGTCCAACCCTCAACCAGTCTGTGATTCTGTGACAGTATGTGGACCCACTTGCAAAATGTCAGAAACTGATGGATATAACATATCAGTTCATATGAAATGACACAAAATTTATAGTGTTTTAGTGTCAAAGTAAGTATTTACACCTGAAGAGCAGAGATAATTCCATTTCGATGACAACAAAAAAAGGGATTTAACTTGAGATTTTGGAGTTGTTGATTTTGGTTCACTCTTGCTGGTTTGTTCTTAGGAACAGAAATGAAGGATTTAAAGCAGTAAGATTCTGAGAAGGTATTAAGCAACAGTTAAACCAGTATGACTCGTCTAGCAATGAATGAGTAAGCGCATGAAAATATAAACTCTTTTCACTGGGAACAACAGAAAAAAGAGGATGAATTTACAGTAGGTAACAGTTAACAATGTCAGAATACTGTTTTTTTTTAAGATACATTCATCATGACAAAAGCACAACAGAGATTAGGAAAACCATTTTAAAAATAAAAGAGAACAGGCTGTGGAAACAGAATAAAAACAGATCAAAAGATCACATGCAGATCAAGATATGAGCAAACTGAGTAAGAGAATAAAAATACCATGAGTGACTGATGGAGGAAAAGATTAACTTGGAAATAAGAGTATGGAAGCGTAGTACAGTGCTTCATATCAAAATTACTTAGTAAGGGAAAAAAAAAGATCTGTGCAGTACTGTAATTAGATTTTCTCCTTATTTTTATCTGTTGATCAAGAAGAACAGAATCCACATAACATTTATTATTAGTAGTGTGAACATCTAGAAGCTGTTTACCTGTACTATCAAGTGGTGGTAATGTTGGTTGTAAATCCTGATTGCAGAAATCAGTCCGACAGCACTCAATTGTTCGACGTAATTGTGCTTTAGGTGAGTCCTGTTCAAGGAGAATTGAATAAACATTCAGAATTTGAAGTGATCAGCTAGGACAGGGACAGGTGATGCTACAGATACAACACAGCACAAACAAAAGTTTAAGCTATTTTATTTAAAAAAAAACAGTTCAATGTCACCATTTAATGTATGAGACAACTTCACAGTGGCAGACAGGCATCATCTAATCTCTTTTGGTGCCTGCATTCTGTGTTCACATTTTTTTATTTTTCATGGAACTTTTTTTACTTGGTGCACAGAAATTGATGGTTCCTACTAAAGTTGCTATTTCATAGATTGCAAAATTTTTAAGCTTGCTCAAAAGCAGTTAATCGTCTTAAGAGCAGTATTTATTTAACATACAAAAAACCCCAATCCCTTTAGAAGTTTTTCTCTTGCACTCATCACAGCAGCACTGTTTGCTTCAAGAACATCTTCAAACACCATATAAAAGATGGAGGAGCATGAAAATTAATCTGGAAGTAACACATTAATATAAATACAGGAACAATTTCAGGAGGTCATCATGGCATATCAGGTCTGATTTGCAGTAAGCCTAAACTTTCACAGCTGTAACTGAAGTCAACAGTGCTTCCAAAAAGCAGAGCTACTGACAGCTACATTATATAGAAGCTCAAGTCCTAGAGACTTAAAATTGAGTATCCAAAACAGTGACAGCATTTGGGGGGGGGGGAGCAAGCAACACAGCTGGTGATTACCTTTGAAAGCTTTGTTTAATGTAAGCAGTTTGAAAAACAAAACAAAAAAGCAAACCCCAATCTTCCAAGGCAATATTCATTTGCCCAGCTAGGGCTATATCCCTGTCTTCTAAACAAATCCTGGCTTTATTAACTGTTTTCAGTTCCAACTTTTGTAACAGATAAAGAAGTTCCAAAGGCAGCAGTCTACTTAATTATACCCCTTTAAATCAAAAGCAAGTTATATTCATGCAATTAACGATACACAACTCTTCTAGAAAGGAAAAAAAAGTTTTATGTTGGACAGGAAAACATACACATTTGATGAACTCTGTATACATGTTTGTGAAACTTTAAGGGAGCTCTTGCGTAATCTGTGAAAACAACTCCTTATGATTATGCTCTTTCTGTCAAATGAACTGAAGAAAGCAAGAAATTCCAAATTAAAGTCAACATAATTGATCTGAAAGTTGTCTCTTCAACCGACGAAACGGCTGACAGAAGTAAAAGGTTGATGTCCTCTGTTCATTTTGTCAGTGGCTTACAGATACCTGCAGAGAACTCCAACAAGCTAGGATGCTATTCCAATCTTTGCTCAAACAACATTAAGCATTCTTTTTGTGTTCTTTCTACCACTACTCACTCACAACTGTTCAGTCCCATTCTCCTCAGTGGTAAATGGCAACAAGCAAAATTCTGCGATTGCAGTTGTAAACTACAGAGATTTAAATGGCTTATGCAGTTTCCCTACATAATCTCCACGGACATCTTAAATTTTAATAACATCTCTTTTTTTTACCTTGCACTGGAAGTCTGAACCTTCATACTTCATGCAGCCAGAAGCAAGTGTGGGTTCTCCATGTTCATCTTCCTCAATGATAGCAAAGCAATGCCCGTTAGTTCTGGAATAAACATATCACTTATGCTTTACCAGCATGTTTGTCATTTAATATGCAGCTTCAGTTGACCATAAACCCATTAAGAATACTAGAATGGCAATATCTACAAAAATTCTTCTTTAACACAGTGGTTACCATACAGTTTGAGAACAAAAGACACCCCCTCCCTCCCCCAGTATTTTCAAATAGAACACTATAGGAATGTTTTCTCCAGAATAGTCGGTTTTCTACTTCCTCACCCCACTTCAAGATCGCTCGTATCCAACCACACATGTGCAGTTGTTCAGAAACAACTGAGGGGGTAGAAAAGCAAGGATCTAACTAAAAATGCTTACTAACTACTATTTTATAGGTTAAAAAAAAAAAATCACTTGTGTCTGTTCTTGAAACTGCAATGATAAACTCTCAAAGAGAAGTCTCAGTACGTGAAAGGTAGCTATTTCAAGGTTAAAAGCTCAGCTACGCTTTTCCCATGCAAGTTCTCCCAAATATTCAGCCTTTAGGGCAAAACAAGCAAACAAACCCCCAAACCCACTTTCTGAAGTTGACAGTAACAAATCAATTACATTCTTTCAAAAAAATGGCACTTCCATTCCCCCTTATCTCTTTATATGAATGATGTGATTTCTCTACTACAAGAGAATGTCAACAATATTTGTAAGGAATCCCAAACTAATTCACAATGGTAGGTCTGTGCTTTCAATACCTGTAAAATTAAGATTTTATTAAGTAAATCAAAATTTATTCATTCCCTCAACACAGATACTAAGGAAAACTAATCCAGAAATGTTTTTGTTTGCCAAAATATTTTTTTAAATGAATGTAAAGAAATGCAGATTTGGGAAGCATAATGCCATAAAATACCCTGCACATGAACACTGCATAAGCGTTATTAACTCTCTAACAGCTTTATTGTCAGAGTAATGATCTATACACCCATTAGTTCAGAGGCAAAAAATTAATATGGTCTATACTGACTGCAGACACTAGAGGGCGATGAAAAGCAAAAAGTAAATACCAAAGGCATTGAAAGACAAAATACTGGATCGTAACTCAACATGTTCTAGGTGCAAAACTGTTTCTAAAATACTACCAGTGTTTACATCTAAAAACATAGTAGTGTTTATTCCACCTCTTTGGGTTCCATAAAAACTGCTTTATCTGCCAAGTGACAGCTTTAGAGAGGCTTAACATTATGTGCTGAAGTGAAGACTCAAATTACAGTAGCAAGTAATATGTTTTCTATTATGTATCTTTATATTAGGTCTTAAGGAAAAGAACAGAAGGGCCTTAAACATGGAACTGTAAATGAAGAGGAAAAAAAGGAAAAACAAGGACATTTCAGGACATGAAAAAAATATCTTGAGCAAGGACATAATCAGTGCATGAGTTTGTTAGGATTCTTGCGCCTGTCAAAGTTAAAACCACCCCCCTCTCCCTGTATGTTCAGAGGCTTTTCTTTTTTCCCCCGCCTTTCCCTCATACTCTACAACTAATGAACATGTAACAAGAATAATTTTCAGTAAATGCCTATGTTGCTAACATTACCTTTTGACTACCAGGTGGAGAAATATTAGACTAAGGAAGCAGGTGATCATATCAGGTTTTGATTTGGGTCATTTAAAAATACTCGCCCAGTTATAAAATGGTTACTTAAAACCTCAGTCCTTCAAAGCAGTTGCTGAGGGCAAAATGACCAGTTGTAAATGGTTCTAAGGCATGGTGAAAGCAGTACTGTTTATGTACAGATGACTGTGGGTTTTAGTGCTCAGCTCTCCACAGAACCAGTGAGTTTCTAATCAGTTACGGTCAAATCACCTGACAGAACCTCAGTCAGCACTCTAGAGATAGTTTGCCCTCTCACAAGCAAAAATGAGCCTCTTCAAAGAGCCTCTTCTATCCTGTATGCAATACTTACATGCATGTGTTATTAATAGCATCATCTGGACAATGTCCTGAGCAGTAGCACTTAAGAAAAGGTAAGGTGTCCTCTGGAGCGAGTGTCACTCCATTTGCTTGTTTCTTTTGGTCAGGATTTGTCTTCATTCCTGTGCCATGAAGCATGCTGTCTAGATTTTGACCTGGACATTTTAAAAAAAACCAAAGAAAATATTTTTGCATATCTCTGATAACTGTTCAAGAGCTCTACAGGCAAAATACACCAATAGAATAATTATATTAACAAACAGTTGAACTATACAAGACATAGGAACTTCCTCTCCCAAGATTATGGAAGAAATTTGAGTTAATCCTTTTATTCTAGAAATACCTAGCTCAAATATCTTCTATCTTCACAGCAGATCTTCGAACCATAATTGATATAAACAGAAAGACAATATTTTCCCTTTTTGAGGTGGGGCAGAAAAGTAATGATGTAACTGGTAAGAATTTTCTGAAGAAAGCCTTTCTCATTAATGTGTTTAGAAAACCAAGATGCTGACCGCTTGATAACCACAACAGTATAATTTTATGCATGACTGAATGTACTTAATATGCAATTTTCTAATTTTCTGAAGTAATTTTTTATGGATTCACAGTCTCATAGAAGAGCAGTAATAACTCCAAAATCTCTTGGTTTTTTTGATCTCTGTATGCATTAGTACTTCAAAACAGAGCTAAAGTAAATCTTGTTTGCAAATTAAATTTCAGTAAATGACATGAACATCCAAACAAACGAGCTTTCACAGAATAAAAATAGGGCTAAAGTAGCCCTCAATTCTCAACAGTAGGAGAGTTGAGCATCATTTGTTCTAGTTCACATTATTAAAGCGTTTTTGTGAACGTAGGCATTCAGAAGAAAAATTCCATCTGTTTTCTTCTTAGCAAAGAACATCCAGAAAAAAACATTTAGGAACATTACCTGCCTCATTTGGAATATGCTTTGTGACCACTGCATGAGATAAGAACACCTTCACCCATCTCCAGCTTTATCATGCGCAATTTTACCAACAGAAAATCTCTTTCTGTCCATCACCTAACAGTATTCTTGGCTCCAAGTCCTTAAGGTGTGAACCAAATAAAGCTAGAAGAGTTGTGAACGGACTACCACCTGCACTGACACAATTTACAGCAAGTGTCTGCAGGAGGCTTAGTGTGCAAGATAAGAGAACAGCCAGTTAGGGCCGAGAGAAGCTTTTACAATTCAGTTATAATTAAAAAAGTGGAGGTACCTCAGTATCTCTCAAAAAGATTTTAGTCACAATAAAAATTTCAATTTATCTAAGAAAAATATTTTGACCAGAAAACTCACAGTCTCTTTTAACAGTTCTTGTGGGTTCCTGTCAAACCCACTGAACACTAGGCTGTAATGAGAACATTACTCATGTTGTACCTTGCTTGAAAGATGTGCAGAAAAAACTAGATTAAAACCCTGTGCAGATACCACCCTATGTATCACTCTGTTGTTACATCCACTCTATCATTCAGCCAAATGTACGATTAAGTATTTGTGAAATTTGATCTTATTGCTCTGAAAAAAGCAGACTTGCAGATTTCTTTTTCTGATTAATACAGCACACCCAGTACATTGTCCTGATTCAGCAATTTCCCTGAAAGTAATGAAACTGTGCCTTCTTCAGATACAACTAAGAGTATATCCTAAGAAAGCACTATTTACCTAAACCCTCAAATCATTAGCCATGTTTTATTTGAAATGTAGTTTTCAAACAGTACTTCAGTAATGCCTGAGTTAAATATTCCCGATACGTTCAGACTGCTAACAAGAGAGAAGGTCCAGTGCTAGAATAACGCAGAATTTACCTGTGAATAGGTATTTCTGATTTAACCAGAAGGAATTTTGCATGTATGAAATAGCAGCTCCTCCATCTGTCCTCTCTCTTTCTACAGATTTCTTCCCAGCATAAACTGAAAGCTCATTTTAATACTGCGCTACAGATGTTACACAACATTATGTATTCATATTTAAGAGATCTTTACCTGCTCAGAGAACAAGTAATTCTACTTAATATTTAAAGGAAAAGCCACTGCATATGTACAAATATTGTCTTTCCGCCTATTTTTGTTGAACTACTAAGGTATCTTTCCTAATTAATGTTACAAAAACCCCCTTTATCTTCAGGGACATTCCACATGTTAAAAAGTCTGAATACTTTATGATCTATGTCTTTCAGTCACTCATCCATCTTCCTACCCTGAGCACTGAATGCAGCATTTTTTCAATTCATTAGAAGAGAGATCAAGGAACACTTAAAGCATGGCTTCTCCTAGCTGAGAAGAGAAAGAACAAAATTTTTATGCAGGTCTGGGATCTTTTAAAGCAGTATTATTCTTTGTAAACTAACACTGAAGCATGACTACATGTGTACCAACCTTTTATACTAAAACTGAGATGAAATACATTTTTCCTCTTTATTATGATGGATTGTATAACAAGATTTATGAAGAACACATACCAAATAAAATCCAAAATAGATAACCATTTTCAAAGAACCAGCATCTTTGTCTTTTGTACAGTTTATATAGGCAAAGATTTTTATTCAAAGCAAAAACTGACTACAGTTTCATTATCTTTGTAATGTGAAACAATACTTCATGGTACCCTGTTTTCATCTTACAGATAATATCTGAATTGCACAAAGAATGGGGGAAAAAAAAAAAAAATCACTTCACTCTTGCATTTTCACTTTCTAAGACCATAAAGGACAACTCTTATTAAACAGGACTTTAATTGAGTATCCAGGGAAAGAAGAGAAAGGAAAATATTGAAAATGCTTGGTATCACTTCAGAAGAAAGTTTTTAATAGCCCCCGTCTAGATAGTGGCCCTAACTGTATCCTTTGCTGCAGTACCACAATTCATCCTCAGCGTTTCAAGACTAGTGTCTATCTTAAAGACGTTAGGTATGGGGAAGGGAGTTGAATGTGGAAGATGACTTGGCTTCCATTCCACTCCATAGGGATCTTGTGACACTACACTACTTGACGATGTAATTAATGGCATCTTTTCCATGACACCTGCAGCTGTCAGCTCTGCAGTGCAGCTAAGAAACGCACATACACAAATCTTACATAACCTTCAAAGGTGTAAGTGCTATGCATTAATACACAGCTTCAAAAGAACAGAAGTCTGCACTGAAATACAGTACCCAGAGACTTCAGGTACGGCAAAGCTTCTTTCTCCATTATTTCCTACCCTCTACCTGTAAACTGCACAGGGGTGGTGGGGCAAAATAATACACATTAGCTGGAAATGAACTGTCACACACCGGAGGACTTGTTCAAAATCCTGGACCAGTTCCAGCCTTTTTGTCCAGCCTTAAGAATGATAGTATCATACACCTTTAAACATACAAACTGCTCTATAATGTGTATTTTACTACATTGAAAAAACTTACAACATTCAATGAAATATCAGAGTGATGGTGAGCTGGAACATTCTCCTCACATAACCACAGCATAAGACAATAAAGCGAAACAAGCTGATGGGACTTCAAGTCCCCAGTTTGTCATTTGCTCCGTCCCACCACAACATTGTCTCATACATACTGCATTTATTTTAAACTTCTAGAAGTGTGAACAACTGCTACAGATAAGACGACATTTAAATGGCTTTCTGTTTAAAATTAAACTTTTAATAAAAAAGAACAACATCTGCCAATGTATCATATCCAGCCCTTGATCAAAACTATATTCAAAGAACTACTTCTTCCAATCATAGAAAATAAGTTAGACTATAAAATGTATTTTAAAGCAGCACAGTATATTAAAAATCCCACTAGGTTAGAAATATAACTCTACTTGAAAGCATGGCTTCAAATACTAATATTAATATGGATAATCTTTAAAAGGTACTGTGCATGACAGTGAAGTGTTATTAACCACTAAAAACTGAGCTAACTTGGTTGCAGCTCAATGCCAGGATACATATATAATTCCATTAAGTCTTCTGATCTAAGAAAAAATTAGTGTAACCCATAAAAAAACCAGGTCTATTAAGAAATGCAGAGACAGAGAGCAGTAAGTGAAAGAAGACAAATACAAAAGCCAAATTATGCCTATAATTTCTTACTTAACTGTATCCCCTCTACCGCCACAAATAAAGTTCCAATGCTAGAAACTAGTAGCCTACAGCATTCAAGTTGTTCAATAGCTTCCTGAATTCATAGTATAGATGTTTCACGTAAAAACATTTTTATTCCAGAGTACATTATCCTTAAAAGGGATTTATCCTAGCAGAACTACAGTACTATCAGCAATTCTTTGAAGCTATTCTGATCCAAGCTTGTAAACCCCAATGAATTCAATATTTAAATAAAAAGAACCTTTGTCAGAAGACGGCCTTTACCTGCCTTCCTGCTGGTGCTAAAGCTGTTTGCTGGGGCTAGCTGAAGCTCAGGGCTTGCCCACACTGAGCTCTTTTCATAAAAAGATGAAAGTTGTACCAAAGCTCTTTATGTTAGATATGCCTTCCTTATGAAAAAGGCATACCTTGACATTTTTATGTGGTTGTTTTAAATTACTTTTTCTTGCTTTAGGATGCAGATACTGCAAAATCATTCACTCCAACTAGGACATTCACCTTTTTGCCTATCACAAGCTTTCTTAATGATTTAACATGTACTGCTATGTGAATTAAACAACTGATACTGCTTGAGTAAAATACTAGTACTTTTTCTTCAAACACAAAATAATTTAAAAAATCAGAAATAGACATTTTTATTGTGAGTGCAAAGAAAATATCTTAAATGGTTCTATGAGTTCTGTCTGGCACTTTAACCGTAATTCTCCCTGTAGTGCTTTTTTATATATCAAGGCTGTGATCTCCAAAGACCAGGCATGTTAGAGGTAGCTCCATCTAGCAGAACTGGTTACTAAATATCACAGCACATTCCCAGACTACTTGCTTAAAATCTCTCTCTACCACCCTCCAGCTCTCCCAGGAGCTACACCAGTGTTCAACACAGCCAGGCAATCCCAGCCCCCCTACTTTCTCAACCACCCGTCCCCAGCCTCTGCTTCCACCTCCCTTCCCCAAAAAAGTCACTCTGAAGAAGACTACTCTCTGTTCTTATGTATTCCAATACAAAAGCCAGAGACAAGAAAATTTTATGAGTATTTTAGTT